TGGCTCTCGGAGAGACCCGCCTGCAGCTACCATTGCCCCTGCGGCTGCCCGCCTCTCACACTGCCCCTGCCCCTTCCTTCCTCTTCTAACAGAGACTAGTGTTTCTCTGCCCTTCCATATGGCTGTCATCTGCCATCCACCCAGCTCTTCCTCCCTGCTTACAGCTCTCTTCCTCTCCTCAGTGACTACAGCATCCACCTGCCCTTCAGGGCTTGTTTCCTGACCTCTTCATTCCTCCGGCAGTTGTAGACCTGATAAGCTGAACCAAAGCTGGGACCTCTGGAACTTAATGCAGGACCCTTTACAGCTTGAGTGAAAAGCCAGCTGGCTCTCAGCTAAGTCTGTAGAGCAGACTCATTCTTTCCGTAAGTGGTCTCAGTGCCAATAGATGGGGTAGTGATTCACATCCAGTAGGTATGTGGGTTACATAAGCAGACCGGGTTCAACCCTGCAAAAGGGCCATTAGCTTGACTTGGTCTAGTGTTCCGTTACTGAGTATCCTTCAGCTGGTCTCTTTCAGCATCACTAGTCAACTTTCCCTTACACATATGATCCACCATATCCACAACTTCAATTTCAACATAAGGATGTGAACAAGTAGAGTAGCCTTCTACTCTGCTTATCAGGTAGCACTATCAACTACTCAATCATCCCCTGCTGGTCCTCTGCGCTCTTAAAGGGACAGAGAGGAGTTGGCACACAAAAACTCTGGCTCAATCTCTGGTTCCCTGCTAGGTCTCAGGACAATTTTTCCCTGCTCCCTGTATTCAGAAAAGTACAGAGCAGCAGCAGCAGCAGCCACTTAAGCAGCTGCCACTGCTCTGTCCCTTTAAAAATGTCGAGGGCCCCCAATGGGGGGGCAGTTGTGCTGCAGCCTCTGTTCTGTCCCTTTCAGAATGCAGAGTGGCATCGGAGGGTCAGGGGGCTTGTCCTAAGAATTGTTGTGGGACCAGAGATTGAGCCATTATCTTTGCAGAGCTGGGGGTAGGGGAAGGGTTGTTCTGTGACACAGTAGTGAGCACTGTAACACCCTTTTCCTAATAAGGACTACTGGACTGGCAAATTAATCGCTAATTAACATTGCTATTTCAACAGTACTTGTGACTGCTGCTCTGCCTTCAGCTTCCCTTTACTTTTTCCTCCATTGATCAGGATACTGCCTCTCTCCATGCTTCATTCTCCCCCTTGATTCTTGTATCCGTTTTCTCCATCACAATGTCCAGGACAGCTGCCAACCCACAGTCCTTGCTCACCCTCAGCCTCCACTTCCATTTCCTCTGTCCCTGCTCTCACACTGCACTCTCTCCTATGATAGAAATCCCAGGACTTTGTATTCTCTCTCTTCCTTCAGCTCTGTCATCTTCCTAGCTCAGTGGTTCCCAACCTTTTGGGGTTGCCGGATGCCCAGGGGTGGGATGTCCAGGACAGCTGCCAACCCACAGTCCTTGCTCACCCTCAGCCTCCACTTCCATTTCCTCTGTCCCTGCTCTCACACTGCACTCTCTCCTATGATAGAAATCCCAGGACTTTGTATTCTCTCTCTTCCTTCAGCTCTGTCATCTTCCTAGCTCAGTGGTTCCCAACCTTTTGGGGTTGCCGGATGCCCAGGGGTGGGACCACTCACGGGGGCAGGGACACACATGCACCCGGGGGTGGGGCCGTGCACATGCCTGGGGGCAGAGCCACCCGTACGGCACGCCCCCAGTGCTGGTGCCACCCATGCGCTGCACTCCCAGGGCAGGCGCCACTCCTGAGCCTCACACCCAGGAGCCGGCATCACCCATGCGCTGGGCACCTGTGGCTGGTGCCGCTCCTGCGCTGCGTGCCCAGGGGCGGGGACACCCATAGACTGCGTGCCCAGTGCCAGTGTGTAGCCCGACAGACCCCCCCCCCATCTCATCCATCCTCT